CACACACACACACACACACACACACAAATAAATAAAAATTTAAAAAACAGTCCAAGTCCAAAGTCTCCTGTGAAACTTAAGGGAAACTCTAAGCTATAAGCCCCCATAAAAATTAAAAAGAAAGTTAAACACTCCCAATATTTAATAGCACAAGATAGATATTTCCATTCTAAAAGTTACAAATGGGGGTATGGCAAGAAACAGGAAAAAAGCAAGGCCAAAATCCATCATGGAAAACATTCAATCCCACAGTTCCACTTCCAGAATCCCTGGGCATCTTGTGGCAAGTTGTAAATTCCAGAGGGCTTCAGTGGCTCCACCCCATGCACTTCTGGGGGTGGTAGCTCCTATGACTTCTCCCTTGGGCCGTCTCTGTTTGCACCTTGCGCTCTTCCTCAGATGACCCTGGCTTCTCCAGGCCCCTGGCATCTCCAATGTACCTTTGGCTTCACACTCAGCTTCACACTGCCCTCTCAGTGGCATACTACCTGGCCTCCCAGGCCTTTCCCCAAAGTCTGGGTAGAATCTTTCCCAATCCCACAACTCTTGCATTCTCCATCTGCCCAAAACCAGCACAGCGTGGACTGTGCCAAGGTCTGCTGCCAGCTAGAGCAGCAGCCCGGCTTCCTTCTCCTGGGCTTAGTGCCTATGAAGTAAACCCCAAAGGAGCAACTTTCCTAGGCTGCTGTCATTCTGCAACATGGGGTACTCTGGGCTCATTACTCAAAGTAACGTCTTTCACCTTTGCAACTGTGAGGCTGCAGAGGCTGGAATTCTGTTCATTTTTGTAATATCCTCAGGCCATCTTTTGTGTTGTTTTCTTTGAAAATACTTGACTTTTCCTTACTAGTCATTTCAGCAATCAATTTCTCTTCTGTTCCATCTTTGCAGGCCACAACTTTACTGGAGCTTCTTTTTTGGCCAAACTTAAAAAGAATTTTAAAATATTCTGCCAGCCCTTTTCTCTTGAATCTCAACATAAATCTTACAAAATGCCCCAAACAACAGTCATGACACCACTTCAACATTAGACTATCTTGAAATTTCTGTCAGATTAGTCCACTGCCTTTAGTCCACTTTGCCTCAGGCAAAGTCTCTGGACACAAACAAACTTTGTGCCAAGATATAAAACACATCATATGGAGTCCAACAGCCAATGCAGTCCTTTTTCCCAGCAGAAACTTCCTGAGCTTGGACTTTGCTGGCAAAATTTCTGTCAGCCTTCTGGTCTTCTGAACTCTGACAAGAATCTCCAATCAAGTATAACCTCAGGCACTTCAGCTTCACTTTTTTGGCCAGCATCTATAAACCTTTCCTAACTTCCCCTTCCCAAAAGTCAGCTCCAGAGGTCCCTAATCCACATAAATAAGTACAGTCCCAATAACGACCCCAATTCTGGTACCAAATTCTGTCTTAGTTACTTTTTCTCATTGCTGAGACAAAATACTGGACACCCAAAGTTAAAGGGGAGAAAGTCTATTTAGCTCACAATTCATAGAGGTTTCTGGGAGTGGTAGCCCATGCCTGTAATCCCAGCACTTGGGAGGCAGAGGCAGGAGAATCCTTGTGAGTTCAAGATAGCTTGGGCTACAAAGTCAGCATAAGGCCAGTCTAAACTGTGTAGTAAGACCCTGTCTCAAAAAGACAAAAAAAAAAAAAAAAAAAAAAAAAAAAAAAAAAAAAAAAAAAAAAAAAAAAAAAAATTTATAGGGGTTTAGTCCACAATTGGCTGA